CCTGCGGCCTAGGCCTCAGCGCGGCTGCGGGCTCAAGTACTCCGCGTAGCCGGCCTGAGGGCCTTACCCGGCGGCACCATGAGCGTGGAGGCGTACGGGCCCAGCTCGCAGACGCTCACCTTCCTGGACACCGAGGAGGCTGAGCTGCTCGGCGCCGACACACAGGGCTCCGAGTTCGAGTTCACCGACTTCACCCTCCCTAGCCAGACCCAGACGCCCCCCGGTGGCCCTGGCGGCCCCGGAGGAGGCGGCGCGGGAGGCCCGGGGGGCGCGGGCGCGGGCGCTGCGGCCGGACAGCTCGACGCGCAGGTGAGCGGCACATGGCGGCGCCGGAAGCCCGGGTCGGGCGTCGGCGTCCCGGACCTGCCTCAGCTCCCCCACTCCGGCCGGGCCTGACCTGACCGGTCCCAGGTCCCCAACTCTGGCCGGACCCGGCCTGATCTGCCTGGTGTCCCTCATAGGCGCCAAGCCTGGAGTAACCTGTTCCGGTCCGCCACTTCGGCTGTGTCCCAGCTGACTTGCCCCGTTTCTCCACTGCAGCCAGACCAGGGCTGACCTGCCGTGGTCCCTCACCCGCCTCTTCCGCGATCTGCCTCAGTCCCCCGATACGGCTAAGTCTGGTTCTTGCTCGGGCCAGATCTTAGGTGACCTGCCCTTAGTCCCCTTCCGGGTGTGTCTAGGATGACCTGTCCTAGGTCTGCCCCTGGCATAACCCAAGTTCCTCACGCTGGGACCGTGGCCTACTCGATCCAGGTCCGGGGGGTTCTGCGCGGGTCTCCTTCTGGTAGGTCCAACCACCCTGTCCCAGTGTCTGTGGTCGCAGTGGTCTGGCTAGACCGCCCCCTGGCCCCCACCACATTCCCCGCTCCGCCATTCAGGCGCGCTAAGTTGCGCGAGTTTAAATTTCCCGGGGTTCAGGGACCCTGGAAGCTGAGGGTATAGGCTCCCCGAACAGAGACCGAATGTGTGACTCGCGTGCAAGAACCACATACTCGCTGACTCTTGAGATTATTCAAGAGGTCGGTTACGTTTTGTTTTTCCTCCTTGCACTGCTTGTTGCTGAAACTGACCTGTTACATAACTCCACAGCCCTGCCTTGGAAAAGTTGTGTTTGAGTTTTGTTTCTCCAATAGCAGTGATAGTGGGTTTTATATAAAGGAGTGTGCCACGTCGGAAACTAATTTTTAATGATGTGAATGTTTAGCGAAGACTGCTTAGGTGTTTTAAATTGGGGTTGAGATTGTGAGAATATCAAGTGTGCACTTCCTGGGTCTTAGTACCTGCTTGGAATGCGCGATGAGGGTGGTAGGGTGGGGTAGTTGGTGTCTTGGGCTGGGGTCCTGGAGAATATGGTTCCCACCTTCTGGATCTCAGATTGCCTTCACCTACTGCTTGTTTTTGTGCCTGGCACCTCCCTCAGGTTTATTTTCCTGAGTCCTCCACTTGGGAGGAGCTACAGGGCTCAGCTTGTCACAGGTGTCCCTGGGCACATCCTTGTGCTCCAGGGCTGGGGGAACCACCCCATCCTCAGCCAGAATAAGCTCAGACACTGTTATTGGGGGTGGGGGGAATCTGTGCTAATGCCTGAGTCACCCCTGTGGGTAGACCACCCACTTGGGCGTTCTTTTAGTCCTCTGATAGGAGGCAAAAACATTTGACTCATTTTAACCCCAGATTCCTTAAAATAGAAAGCCTACTGGCTTGGGGCATCAGAAGAACAGGTGTGAATGTATAGGGTTTTTTTTTTTTTTTTTTTTTCTCTTTAGTTTTGTTTACATTTGGTGAAGGGAGGTTGGGAGAGGCGAGAGTTTGCATGAAGAAGTGAGCTGAGCTGGGTAAAGCCTCACCTCCTTTTAGTTTCTCTGCTTTGTGGATCTCTGCTTCTCCAGCTATAAAAACTGGAGGTGACAGTTATATTTTTATTCCTTTTACTTAAGGGCAATCTGGATCCATGTGTAAATTGTCCAGACAGTTGTGTCTGTAAATTGAGTCCATGTGTCAAGAAGGCTTGGTCTGGCAGCAAGCAGTGGTGGGCAGCTGAGGAGTGCAGAAAGGGGTGAACGATAATCATCTTATAACTGTAGCTAGTATAAGACAACAAACCTGCAACAGCTTTGAGTTCTGCTGCTGTCTGTTGGCAGTCAGTCATGGGATGTGTCCTCTTTGATTTGAAATGATCGATTCACTTTCCTGCAGCCGAACACTGAATTATATAAAATCAGACCATTAAAGTGCATCATCAGAGGTAAACATTGGAGTTCTGAAGACATCAAAGGGTGTGTCTTTCCTTACTTTTAATTAAACTTGATGACCCACCCACCTGTAGCCTAACTTTGGATTCATATTTGATGAAGGGGAATACTTGAAATCTGTTTGTATCACTAGAGGACCCGAATTTGGGGGCAGGAAAGTCTGAATATAATTGGAAAATAAGAGAAAGTTGACTGTCCCCTGTGCCAGCTTGGTGGCATCAGCTGCTTAAAACATTTGGGAAGATTTTCTTATTTGTCCTCATGAAGTGACTGTGTAACCAGCCATTCACCAGGGGCTACCAGGAAGACTTGAGCTTCTATTCTGCCTTTTGATTTTTTTCCTACTGGATGAGTGGCTGTCAACTGTCAAGGGCAGACATTTTTGTGGCATAGCTATATTGAAATAGAATTCACATACCGTACAATTCACCTGTTGTACATTAACATTTCAGTGAATTTTAGCATGTTCAGAGTTGGGCATCCATCACCCAAATCAATTTTAGAACGTTTTGTCACCCCAGAAAGAAATTTGTTTCTCATCCCTTAGTCGCACAATCTTTCCTTCCCTAATCTCAGGCAACCATTTATCTTTAACTTTCTGTCCTTGTAGATTTGCCTTTTTCTGGAAATTTCACAGTAATGGGATCATAAAGTGTGTGGTGTTTTAGATCTGACTTCATGTTTTTTCTTCCTGCCTGTTGTTGAGAATGGAACCCTGGCCTCCAGCATACTAAGGCAAGTGCCCTACTACTGAGTTACAGCCCCTGCCTTGTATCTGGCTTCATTCACATTATTTCATAAATCAATGCTTCATTTATTTATTCTATGTTATGATTGAATAATATTCCATTGTATGGATAGACCATGTTTTGTCTATCCATTTGTCTTTTGATGACCATTGAGGCTGTCTCTATCTTTGGCTCTTATGGATGGTTCTGCTATGATTCTCCAGGATTGCTACAAGTTTCTGTGTGGATGCATTTTTGGTGAGATCACTGGTCCTATGGTACCTCTGCATCTAACCCTTTGAGGAGTCACACTGCTTGCCAGTGTGCTGCCACTCTTTTTTTTTTTTTTTTAGTTTCAGTGGACACAACATCTTTATTTTTATGTGGTGCTGAGGATCGAACCCAGTGCCTCACGCATGACAGGCGAGCGCTCTACTGCTTGAGCTACATCCCCAGCCCCAATGTGCTGCCACTCTTGATGGCTGTTCTGCTTGTGCCAGTTTTGCACAGTATGGGTTATGGGAATATGCATCCCATTCAGGGTGGAGAGTGGCAGCAGGGGTGACTCCTGTTGAATTGGGAGCTTGTTCAACACTCATTTTGAAGGTTATCAAGGCTCCTGAGATCTAGGAATAAAGAGTGCTCACACATTTTGCCAAATGTCCAGAAGATAAAGGAACAGTTTTCCTTTGAGTATTTGACCCCTTCCTGGGCCCTTCCCCCACTTCTGAAAGGACACTGAAAGGTAATTTCAGAAGTTGTTTGCATGATAGCTAGGGTAACAAACTTTTTGGTCTGTGCACTTCAAGTATTTCCTCTCAACTGTTGGTGATATCAGGTTTCCTCCAAACAATGGAAGAATTATGGTGAAAATGTAAGAGATGGAAATACCACTTAATAATAAAGAGGAACGAACTACTGCTGCACATAGCAACATGATGCATCTCAGAATAATTTCTCTGAGTGGAAGAAGCATTCAGACAAGCGATTTCACTCACAAAATGCTAGAAAGTATCATCTAATCTACAGTAATAGAGAGCAGATCAGTGATAGGGAGGATGGAAAGAGGGTAGGGTAGGAACAGGGAATGATAATGATGGGCACTTGGAGACTTGAGGGTGATGGCCGTGTTTATTTTGTTGATTGTAGTGACCGTTGTGTGTTTATATATGTTGATGTGTGTCAGTTTCTAAAATTATATACTTTCAATATATGCCATTTATCGCATGTCAGTTTTACCTCAGAGGGACTGTTAAAAGAAAAATCCCATAGAGATAACTGTCTGTGCCCATTCAGTGTTCCAGTGACCGCCCCTACCCCAGGCTGAAAGTGCTGAGACTCTCTTACACTTTTTTATGAGTGGGACAGTTCTACGCTCACCTTCCTGTGACCCAGCAGAGAAATGAAGTGTCTGTCCACATATGGTGGTTGGAATTTCACAGCAGCTTTGTTCATGGAGGAGTCCTAAGTGGAAAAAGCCCCAAATGGCCATCAATAGGTGAAGGAATAAAGTATGTACATTCAGTCGGGGACAAGCCTGCTTGTTGGCTTGGCTGGCTTTTCTTTAGCTCAGATCTCCTGAAAATAGTAAGATTTGTGGGAAGGTATATTCCTTTCAGATAGGAACTCAGTGTTTTGGAGC